GGTGGGGGTGGACTGTGATTGGTAAAAACATGAGAACAGGATACAAAGTTAGCACTTATAGACACCCTAGATAAACACCGGTGGGTGGGTTGGATAAACTGGAGCATAGATGCGCATCTGTACACTTTTTAGCAAGTTAAGTGGATACATAGTGACAAAGATCTCCAGAATGTATTGTCAAGAGAGAAAATGTCCACATATTCTAGAAATGCGTGGGAAAACACCTGCAGGGATGTAAACATGCACAAATATTTGTGTAATTACATATTCAGATGCATACATAAACACATGCAAGGACATGTGTGTGAATATATATTGTGTTTGTGCACATATATGTGTAATATATCTATATTAACTATAAAATTGAGAGAAGGAGGGAGGTTGGAGGAGGAAGATTTTCAGCTGGGCATGGAGGCCCGTGCCTGTCAATACTTGGGAGGAGAACCGGGAGTTTAAGGTCAGATTCTCAGACACAGTATGAGGCCACTGGGCTACATGAGCCCTGTCTCAATAAATAAGATTGTCTTAGTTACTTTTTATTCCTGTAACAAAACACCATGACCAAGGCAACTTATAAAAGAAACATTTAATTTGGGGCATGTGGATCCAGGGTTGGAGTCCATGGCCATCCTGGCAGGGAACACGGCAGCAGGCAGGGGGAGGTACTGGAGCAGTGACAGAGGTCTTTGAGGCCAGTGGCACACCTCCCCATCCTTCCCAAGCAGCTCCACCAACCCGGCAACAAGTTTTCAAACAGGAGGCTGTGGGGCCCACTCTCAGAGCACCACCCAGGGGGCTGGGGTGATGGCTCTGTGGTTAAGAACACTGGCTGTTTCTACAGAGGACCGGGGCTCAGTCGTCAGCACCCACATCACAGCTTACAACCATGTGTAAACAACTCCAGTTCCTGAGGACTTGATGTGCTATCCCAGCCTCTTAAGGGCACCAGGCATGCACATGACAGACATACATATGTGCTTGCAACATACTTATAAACATACAAACAAGCAAAAACCCTTAAAAATAAATAAAAAGCAACAACATAGTCGTCATTGGATTTATTTTATTTTAAAGGTATCTGTGTCCACCTAGTAAATACACACTGGGATTTGTGCAGTTTGGTCTGTCTTCCACGCTGGCATGCAACATTTTGGCAGATGTGAGTGGGTGGGCCAGGCGGCCCTCTTGGTGACCTGGCTCTCTGAAGAGGGATGCAGTGAGTGTAGGGAAGGAGTGTGGAGAGAAGTTACTGGTAAAGGGGCTGTTTCTTGCTAACATAAGGAAGCGCCTTACATCTTGCTGAAGAGAAGGATGTGTCACCCTCCACCTCTGCTGTGTACCTTCCCATTTCCTTGTATTTTGAAAAAATCCATCTGGTGGCAAGATTACACAGCTTCTGGGGGGGGGGGTCCTGAGGCCACAGGCAGGGCTCAGTCTCCCCTCCCCCACCCACTGGGTCTGAGACTGTGGCTCATGCATCCCACCTGGTCTTTCTCTGGAGTTGTGGTTTTAGGGTGGGGGAACCACACTGAACCCCTCTTACAAATAGTCTTAGGACTATTTCGGGGCCCTCCACTAATTAAGCATTTTCCACTGTGTTTGGGGAGTTATGACAAGAAAGATAGCATAAACTTCTGAAATACGTCATCGTTTTGGTTGGTTCTTGTTTTTTTTTTTTTTTTTTTTTTTTTTTCAGTTCAAGAGATAGATGAGACCCCGAGCCCTCATCACACTAAGTATGTTGGACAAGCACGATGCCTCTACGCCACCATCAACGCCCTGTGTTGCTTTTTATGTCTTCCTGCCTAAGACCTATTTTTAAAAAGTGTTTGAAAATTGCCGCTTGGGATTTGCCCTGTACCGCTCCGATACTCTTTCCATCTCTATCATTCCTAAAAAGTAACAAACAGAGACTCCCCGGAAGGAGTCACAGACACTACAGCCTGTGTTAACCAGCAATCACCAACACAGTTTTCCTTCTGGCCCTGGGACCTGAACAACAGGCTGCTCTGCTGTGACAGAGTCCTGGCCTCACACCCCGGGTGAGACTGGTAGTGCCATCCATTCCGGCAGTTTCTGGAGAGACAGATACCTTAGCAGGCAGGAGGAGAGGGCTACCTGAACTAAAGCAGCGCCCTCTCGACTGCTGGGAATGCTGGGGACAAATCTAGGTTTGAGCCCTCTGCCTCTGTCATCTCTGAAAAATCTGATGTGTCCCTTTCTCTTTTGTTTTGTTCAGGCTATCCTGGAACTGACTGTGTAGTCCAGGCTAGCCTCAAATTTAGCAATTTTCCTATCTGGGCTTCCTGAGAGCAACATTGGCAAGTGTGAACAGCACCACACCCTGCTTTTGTTTTGGGGTGTGGGGATGAAAACCAGAGCTTCATGCGCTAGGGAAGCGGTCTGCCACTACGCTGCACCTCCTACCCCTGCCTGTCCGGAAAGTGCACTTGGTACCAGATGAAAATTGTAGAAGTAACTGTACAAAGAGAAGAGGGTATGCTGGGAAGAAGCCAGACCCCAGCTTGAAGGGAAGGCATCTAGAAACAGCTATTCTGTCAATGACGTGGAAACCCCAAACCAGAGTCAGGAGTGGGAGGGAGTACAGGCAGCCCAAAGGGGAGAAGGTGAGCTCATAGCTTCAACCTGAGGGCACTGCCGTAGGAAGTCACATGGCAGTCCCCACGCTGTTCACGCCCCAGACCCAGGGAACCTACTGTTCTAACTCTGCTTGCTTGTAACTGTGGGCAGACAGGTGAGTGACAGATCCTCGAAGGTCTGCCTTCTTGACCTTTCAGAGTATTTTTTTTTTAAATCAACTCTTAAGTTTTGGCTGTGATATCTGCAGTAGAAAGTATCAAAAGAGGCTTGAGCCAGAAAAAGAAATAGCCCCTGAGCGGTCCATACTCCCAGTCTGGGGAAGAAGGGGACAGAAAACAGACTTCATGGATGGAAGTAAGCTCCTACAATCTCCTGACTCGGGGGTGGGAGGGGCATGATTTCCCAACCCTCCCGCTGGGACCTGCTCTGTGTAAAGGGGGGGGGTCTGTTTCTCTCTTTTCGTAGATGCTAAGACATTCTTCTGCTTAAGGCTTTGTATGTACACTGTATGTATGTGTGTGCATGCATGTACACGTGTGTGCATGTACACGTGTGTGTGAGCAAGAAGGAGCACGGCCCCCCAGCTCCGTTTTTCCCTTATCATCTTGTGATGGTGGGTGTAAGAAACGAGTATATGGAAGAAAGAGGAAGACTCTTCCCTCCTCCCTAATGCCGAATGAGGAGGGGAGGACTATGCTTACAACCTGTTAAACACATCATCAGATACTCAGAGTATGACAGAGAGGGGAGGTACAGCAGCAGCAGCTTCTCGTATACAGATACAGAGTACAGAGGTATGGAGCAAGAGCAGACATGAACAGTCCAACAACACGGGCTGGGGGGAGCTAGATTCAGAGACCACAGGTTTTTGCAGCATGCTGAGAGAAGGAGCCTCAGTCCCTCTTAGAAACTGGAGAAGAAAGAGAAAAGGAGGAGGCATGAGGAACCAACCGGAAGGAGCCCAGGCGCTGGAAAGGAGGGACATAGGCACACACTTTGGTTTACAGTTCTGTTCCTTTAAGGCCAAAGCTGCCCCCCCACCATCCCCCCAGCCGGCCCAACCCCTGCTTTCCCACCCCAGATTCTCCCAGAATCCTTTTCCCTTCTCCAGTTCCCTCTTCCTCGTGGTTTTCTGCACGGACTACTATTCTGGAAAAGGCCAGAGGTCTTGGCCTAGCGTAGCCCAGCAAGGGACTGGCCATTTTCTCTTGCTCCTAGTCAGGCAAGGATCTAATGTGGATATAAAACAGGCCCCACTGTCCACCTGGGGGTCTAAAGCAACCATGACAACAAGCGTGGTGAAACCAGGAACTGGGGGAGGGGCTTCTGCGGCCGCAAAGGATTTGGCAGGAGGGAGGTGTGGAAGCTAGAGGGGTTGGAGATGGAAGGCAGCTGGTTTTCATTTCCAGTGGATGGTATGGAGAGGGCTGCTGTCACTAGCTAGGGGGACCAAGAGTCAGACAGCGTCACAGTCGCTGGTAGCATAGGCAGGTCTAGGAATAGTACACAGGAATCCAGCAGACTTCGTCACCTTTACATGAGGCATCTTAGTTCAAAGCATCTCCATAGATCTAAGGTTATTTATCGATGGAAGCAGAGGTCTCCCAAGCTCTCCTGTTACCTAAGGTCTGTAACTGTCAGGCAGCCTTCGCATTAAAAAAAAAAAAAAAAAAAAAAAAAAAAAAGTGTGACAGTGACCCCTAGTGGTGGGAATCAGTACTGGCGTTACCACCAGCACCCAAGGGTGCCAGCATCAGGGCGCACGGGAGGTCTGGGCTGGATCTGAGCTCCATAAGGGAAAGCGAGCTGATGTGTGATGTGGGGTTCTTAGTCAATGTTTTTGCTTGTTTTTGCTACAGGGTCTCACTACCCCAGGATTCCTTTGAACTCATGGCCCTCCTGCCTCTGTCTGAGTGCTGGGATTCTAGGCATGTGACACCACACCCGGCTAGGCTAAGCCGGAGTTGAAAGGTTTTCAGAAGGGTTAAGAGTACAGCGGGGAGGGGCTGGGGAGATGGCTCAGTCACAGGCATGGGGACTACACCCAGACCCCCTGCACACACAGAAAAGCCAGTTTGCTACCCTAGCACTGGGGGACAGAGGCAGGCAGATGGGGGAAGCCGCAGGGGTGAGTGACCAGCCGGCCTAGCCAAAACAGCAAGCTCCAGTTTCAGTGAGAAACCTTGTCTCTAAAAATAAGGTGATGGAGGAATACACCCCTACTAACCTCTGGCCTGTGTGCGCTCACGCGCGTACACACGCACGCACACACTCTCTCAAACACACTCAACATAATACAAATAACACAAAGAGAAAAAAAAGCCAGAGACAGGAGAAGAGGCCAGGGCCAGAGAGGGACGCTGCCCCAAACTACCTGAAAGTGCAGAACAGAGCCGGAATGGGAGGGAGTTAGCTGGCTGCCGTCTCTTGGTGGAGAGGGAAAAGCTTGGCCTGCTCCTCAGCCTCATAGCCGCATGGCAGGTCACTCCTGCAGGAAGACAGGACAGTCAGCTCCATTCCTGCCCGGGTCAGGGCTCTGATAGCGTGCCTGTGAGGTAACCAAGGGCAGGGAGTTGCCCGCTTCTCGGAAAACTAAGGTCTTGCCCAAGGTCAGAGAGTTCGCAAAAGTAGAGAAAGTGCCAGATGCCCACGGCATTCTCCCTCGGGTATCATAACTGGGACAGGGAAGGGCTTGGACCAGGGGATGACAGGAAGTGCCCACAGTGGGCCTCAGCCCCCCCTCTCCCCACAAAGCTGCAGGCAATGCTCCACCAAGTGGAGAAAAGTCATTCCTCTTCCTGACCCCACCAAGAGAAGCCCAGGTTAGTGGTGTCTGGGTACCTGTTGTCGTTGATATCTGTGGCGTTTCCTGAGGAGGACATCATTGAGAAGACACGGTTAGAAAAGGCTGATAAGAGGGAAAAACTCCACAAGCCCTCCCCAGCCTGATGCCTCTGAGAAACCGGTAAACCCAAAGCTGTACCAGTCGGGCCTAATCCCAGCATTCGGAGGCAGAGGCGGGTGGATCTCTGAGGTCCAGGCCGGCCCGGTTTAGGCTGGACATCTACATTAGGCTAAGGCTCAGATAGTGGGCCCATGTGGATGTCCCCCCCCCCGCCCTCCCCCAAACCAGGGATGGAATGCTGGGCAGCAACCCCACCAAGCTCCGCCCGGACTCTCTTTATTTGATGTCCTGGCCCTGGAGAAAGGTTCTGTTAGTGCCTGCCATAAACACCCCTCAGTTTGCCCTGGGGATCCCACAGGCTGGATCTTCGTCACTCACCATTGTCCATGTTGGCCTTCTGGTAGGAAGCTAAGGGGCCACCAGAAGTGGGTCCACCGCTGGCACAGGCGTTAGCAAAGCTGGAAGGGACAGAATAGACACAGTCTCTGTCCTAATCACCTGAGAATCACCGTGCCCACACTCCGCTCGGCCCCTCGGCTTGTCCATTGCAGGGAAAGAAACGGATAATCACAGAGACGGGACGGGGAAGAGAACACCCATCTCCTAATCACACGCAGAAAGCCATGTGATGTAGGAAAATAATCAAATTTAGATAAGAGGAGAGCTGATACCACCACCCTAGGGCTCCTAGGTCCCAGGTGGCCTTGGGCTGGAACCCCAGCCACACCCACGGTCGGTCGGTCACTCACTACATATCTGAGGTGGAGCTAGGTGCAGCCGGCAGGTGCAGGGTTTGGTAGTTCTGGAAGAGGTTGTTGGTGTAACTGATACACTCCGGGCTCCGGGTGCCATAGGGGTTGGTGGGTGAGGAGGCTGGGTAGTGGCCAGGCCTCACAGGCTTAGCTGTGAAAGAAAGGTAACAACTTTGAGAAAGCTACCCTGAGTCAACCACAGCAAAATGACGTCACCATCCTTGGGCTGGAGGGCCAGGGCTAGAAGCAAGCACTGAGTTGTCGGGCACGGAGGATTGGTGGGCACCTGGATGTGGCCTCACCTCCTGGCATCCACTCACCAATCTGGGCAGAATGGCCCCGCTTGCCGGAGCTCTTGTAGCGCACAGCTTCCTTGATTCGGTCCACCTCCTGCTGGTAGCGGCGCTTGTCCTTCATGGCGCCCTCCTTGGCCTCCTTCAGTGCACCCTCCAGGGCCTTAACTCTCTCAGCCGTAGCCCTAAGTCGTTTTTCCAGTTTAGGAAGCTCACAACGCAAATCTGCATTGTCACGTACCAGCTGTGAAGTGAGCCAGTGACCCAAAATAGAGTCACCCAGTGGAGTGCGGGGGTTGGGGGAAAGAGAGAATAAAGGAAAATCAGGAGCGTGTCATTCATTTCCTTGAACAGCCACCTCCTTCCCCCTAGGTAATATGCGGTTCTACCCAGTTCTCTCCGGCTCCCTACATTATTTTCTAAGGAGCAAAACCTCCTCCTACAGCCCCTGCCTGCCCCCCCCTCCCCGGGTTCATACACCTAGACACTCCCACATTGTGTGCCACAGCCTGTGCCAGACCTACAGCTCCAGGTCCCCAGTGGGGATGTGGGCTGTGTGGGCATGCGCAGAGAGGACAGCAAGAGCACATGACAGTCGAGGGAGGACATGGATGAGAAGCCTGAGAGCAGAGCCCTGCAGGGCAGGAACCAAGCCAGGACCCCATCACAGTCAGGCACTGCCTCCCACGCACCTAGCCACACACGGACACACACACACAGGGACACACACACACGGACACACACACACAGGGACACACACACACACACATGGACACACACACGGGGACACACACACACACACACACGGGGGGACACACACACATACAAACACACACACGGACACATACACACACGGACACACACACACATGGACACACACACACACACACACACCCACACATGGCCCCCCCCCCCCCCCCCCCCCGGGGGGGACACACACACATACAAACACACACACGGACACATACACACACGGACACACACACACATGGACACACACAAACACAGACATACCCACACATGGACACACACACACACACACACACACACACACACACGGACATACATGGACACAAACACACACACATGGATACATACACACACACGGACACACACACACACACATGGATACATACACACACACGGACACACACACACACGGATCTTCCCACACATCCAGCCATGCATGGACACACACACACACACACACACATACACACACACACACACACACACACGCATCCTCCCACGAATCCAGCCACGCATGGACACAGCCTCCCATGCAGCCACATGCACATGGATCCTCCCACTCAGCCATGAGAAGCCTCCCAGAAAGGAAAGAATGTTTGTGACCGGATCTCACAAACATTTGAGCTCATCACCTTCGCATTCAAGGACCTCCTGGGCCATTCTCCCCAACCCCATTTAAATTGTGACAGCAACCACTCTGCAGTCAGAAAGGCCCACGGGTCGGTTCGCAGGTCCACACAATGACTGGGCACTTGAGACTACGCAAGGCCGCAAAGCCGTGGGGTCTGGGAGGCTGGAGGCTGGGGCAGTCAGGCTGGTCAGGATAGCAGAGAACAGATGGGAAAGGGCAGAGCTGCACCCTCTGTTCAGCTTTAGACGGTTAGGATCCTCAGATTTCGCTGTAGTGCTGGTTTAGGTTAACCGGGACAGTGAGTGTCAACAACCCTGTGTCCTTCATAGACTCATGTCTGCTGTGTAGGACATCGTGTTTAGCCTGTCTGCCCTTTAGGGGAGCAATGTTTGGAGTTTGGGACTTAAAGAGGAATCAGAGGCTTTGAGGACGGAAAGGGGGGGCAAGCAGAAAGAAAAGACGAAAGGGAGGAGGGAAAGGAAGGAGGGAAGAAGGAAAGAAAAAGAAGACTAAGAATGGAAAGAAAGACAGAGTCACACTATGTAGCTCAGACTGACCTAGAACTCACTATATAACCTCGGCGGTCCTCAAACTCTACTTCCTCAAGTGCTGGGGTCACAGGCGTGTGCCACCATGGCTGGCCCCAGTTTGATATACACTAGAGTTGAGCTCTGTACAAACTCAAGGCACACTCTCAACTGCCTGCCCCCCCCACCTTTTTTTTTTTTAGATTTCCTAGCTGTCATTCAACTTTTTGGTGAAGCTGTTATACCACTTCATAGCATGAGAAGGAAGGAGAGATAATAGTCAAGCCCTTTCCAGATCCAAAGAACGCAAACCCAGCAGGCTTCGAAAGTTTCCCAAAGGACGCACACTGAGTCTCTACTGTGCTACAAGGGCATCAGGCTGGGAAAGCGTGGGCGCGGCTACTGAGCATGAGTCTAGACAGAACATAAAGGTGGGCTTGACAGGGAGGGAATGAAATTTAGGTTGGGGCTCATTGTACGAATTGGTTAAAGAGCCAGACTGTTGAGTGTGCTGGCTCCTTGACGAGGATGCTTCTGCTGGGGACACAGTTCCTGTCCTTATTCCTGATTGCCCTTTCAGCCACCCAGCCCATACCTTGGAAACCCAGTCCTGTACCTACAGAGCAGCAGCAGCAGCGGGACAGAGAGGCAGCAGCAACTCAAAGCAGGGGTCTGACTGGCCCTCACTAGGGGGTCATGTGAAAAAAATGACATACCTGCCCCAGGTAGGCAAATGGAGTTGTTTGGTTTTGATAAGAAAAATCCTAATTCCCATCTTCCTTACATCCCTAGCTGAAGTCCAGTACTATTATACCTGACCCCAACCCCAGGACAGTGCTAGGGATTGCCCGTCAGGGCCTTGTGCAGCGCAGGCAAGCCCTCTGCTCAGAGTGGCCTCCCAGCCCTCCCCGGAGCCACAGCCCCTGTGTCTCCACAACTTCCACACATTACAACCCCTTTCTCCGAGGCAGGGCTGGGGACTTGCCCTTTAAGTAAAGGTAAGTGGAGACTCTGAAGGAGAGACAGGTACAGAGCAAACATCACTGTGCAGTGTGCACATGGATCCAGACAGGATGCCAAGAAGGGGCTCAGTGAAAAGAAGGGAAGTAAAAGGACTGTGCGCGTGCACACACGCGCGCGCGCGCGCGCACACACACGCACGCCTCCCCTTGCCTCCGTTCTCTCCACCCCCTTCTGGATGCTTACCTGTTTGTGAACTTTTGTAAGCTGCTCCAGGTTGTTCTCAAGAAAGGAGATCTTCTGTCTCTGGGAGTGAACCCCCCCACTGTCCTCGGGTTCCATCTCTGCACTCTGATCAGAGGGAAGGGAAGAGAGGCATGGCTGCCCTGAGGCCAAACCAATCCCACAGGGGACAATGGGGAGGAGAGGATGGGATGGGTGTGGGGTGGTGGGGACAGGCGAGGACACTTGAGGACAGCACTCACTTTCTTGACTCGAGTCGTGACGTCTTGAACGAACAGCTTGCGAAGGTTGTGAAGGGTCTGGAGTTCCCGGGCCTACAAAGAATAATTCAGAACTGGGCGTGGCTGGGTATTGAGTCTCCCTTCCCCCTCTCCAGTCCATGGAAACTTCAGTCTACGTGGTCAAATGGGTCGGTCACCCCAGATGAGCGGCCACACCCGTCTTACAGGAAGGGCTAAGGACAAACAGGAGGATGGGGAGCTGCCTCCTACTCTGCTAATTTAGCACAAGGGAGACCACTCACAACTGTCTCCTCCAGCCCCTTGAGGTCCTGCTTGGACTGCTCATGTCGCTCGTACAGAAATCTGTGGCAAGAGAAGCGAGGAACACAGACAAGACCACTACCATACCTTTCACCTTTACCAATTATAGTCATGCTTGCAATGCAGTAATCAGAGAGGAACCCTTAAAAGAGAGTTAAGCTATTTTATGAAAGGCCGTGATTCTGTTATTTACACATAAGGCTACCAGGTGTCCATCCTTGCCAACTCTGTTCTATGCTTATAACACAGTCACATGCAGTTTCTAAGACCACGCCCTCTGTACTGCTTCAAGACCTGATTTGCATACTTAACAATTCTGGCTGTGCTGGAACTCGCTCTGTAGACCAGGCTGTCCTTGAACTCAGAGATCCGCCTGCCTCTGCCTCCCCAGCGCGGGGACTAAAGGCGTGCGCCACCACACGCAGCCTGGCAGTCATTTCTGCTGGCCTCCTTTCCTCTCTCCCCTCTTCACGCTTGCTTCCTGTGACTGTCCTCGCTGAGGCCAGCCAAGCGTGTGCCCGACTCTATATATTCATCCCGTTTCCCGGCCTGCCGGTGGACGGACTCACGTCAGCTCCTGGAGTTTGATGCTCTTCTCATGCTCTTCGTTCTTCAGCCGCTCATAATCAGCCTGAAGCTTCTCCAGCTCCAGCTGCAGTTTCTGGTTCAGGCTAGGGAGGGTGAGGGCATTGAAGAGATAGGCACACTAAAGGGAGAAAAGCGGAGCCCTGCCCACAGGTATGGGAATAAGCACCAGCTACCATTTTCATGCCGGCGTGGGACCCTGAGTGCTCCGATTATAAAAGCCTCAAGGACAGGGTTAATTCTAACTTCCTGTGCCTTTTTTTTTTAATTGATTTTTTTTAATGTGTGTGTTTTGTCTGCCTGTATGTCTGATACATGTATGCCTGCTACCTGAGGAGGTCAGAAGAGGGTGTTGGATCCCCTGGGACTGGAGTTTCAGATGGCTGTGAGCCACCATGTGGGTGCCGGGAATCAAACCCAGGTCCTCTGGAAGAGCAGCCAGGCTCTCAAACACCTTGCATCTCTTGAAGTTGGGCTTTGAAGTATGTCATTGTTGAGGAAATGACCTTGGACATTAAGGATCATGGAGTGGCCACAGTGAGATGAGGGACTGGAGGGACACTTGAGCGACCCGCTAGGACCCTTACTCTTTTAGTTCATCAATGGTCCTCTGTTTCTCATTGATCTCGTCCCGGAGGCGGGCCAGCTGCCGGTGATGGGCCTCACGGTGATTCTCCATCTGCAGTTCGAGGGCCTTCTGCAAACAACCCAACCCTGTGCTCAGAGCCAGGCTCCCCGGCCAACGGTGGGCCCAGCCCCTGCCCTGCCAAGCACCCACCCTCACAGCTTCCCAGGTCACCTTCACGTCCTCTGCGTCCTGTGTGTCTGGCTCCTTGTCTTTGAGGGCCACTTCATGCACAGTCTCTAAGTGAGAGAGAGGAAGACGGCTTCATGATTCCAGAGCTCCAGGCCTCAGGGGATGGGTCTTGGGGATGTTCTGGGCTAGGACAGTCCAATGTGACCGACTCATTGGGGATGGGGAACAACCAAGGGTCTACGGTTCGTGTAAAATGGGCTACACACAAAAGCCAGGCTACATGTTAGATAGCATATGAGCGGACACTCAAGCCCATGCTAAGCGAGATGCTATCGGGTCATTTCTTCCCAGGAGGGTGACTTTCCTTTCTAGTCCCTCCTGGGACCTCAGACCTAAGAAGGCCTCACCCTGCGCCTGAAGCTTGGCTAGCTCATCGCTCAGGGAGTCGTAAGACTCTTCCAGGTGGCGTTTCTTCAGCTCCACACTCTGCATGTATTCCGTAAGCGAACGGATCTTGGCCTCATGCTGGTAAGGAGGGTGGCAGAAAGGAGACCAAGGGCACAAGGGTCTAGCAATGACTGCAGCCATGTCACCACCCCCATCCCCCCCTGCTGCCCTTTCCATAAGGACACAGGCAGGCCAGGGGCCATTCCTACGGACAGTATCCCCTGAGCTTCCAACCCCACCCCAGCCTGGGTCCTCCCCCAAATCACCCCAGGGTCTCCAGTCCTTGATCTCCACTGACCCCAAGGCTCTGACATGAAGTCAGTGCTGCCAAGTTTTTGGTTTTCATTTTTCGTCTCTGTACTGGAACTGGGTCTGTAGACCAGGCAAGCCTCGAACCCAGAGACCCACTGGGCGTGTGCCACCACCACCCGGGCAGTTTTCCTGTAGCACAGGACAGCCTTCTCAGACGCTCACCTGTGAGATGAGCAGCTGACAGGATGAGAGCTCCCTGCCAGTCACCTCCATCTTGCGATGGCATTCCACCTGGAGGCTCTCCAGCTGCCGACACCGCTTGACCACGGACTTAACCTCCGATTTGATTTTGCTGATGTAGAGTCGGGCCACCGTGAACTCCTCTTCGATGGCGCCACTGATCTCCACCGGCTGAGGGTGGGCAGAGGAGGAAGAGCTGCTTCTCTGAGGCAGAAAGTGTGTACCTGCATCCTTCACCCTCTGCCCACCCGAATCACACCCCATCGCAGGCACCCAAGGAAGCTGGGAATTCCTGAACACCTTTTAGCAGCTGGTGCTGGCTGGTTTTATGTCAACTTGACACAGCTAGAGTCATCTCAGAGGAGGGAGCCTCGATTGAAACAATGCCTAATAAGATCCCGCTGCAGGCAAGCCCATAAGGGCATTTTCTAAATTACTGATTGATGGGGAGGGCCCAGCCCATGGCGGGTGGTGCCATCCCTGGGCTGGTGGTCCTGGGTTCTGTAAGAAAGCAGCCTGAGCAAGCCAGGATGTGCTAGCTCCCTCCATGGCCTGTGCATCTGCTCCTGCCTCCAGGTTTACGTTCCTGCCTTTGGGTTCCCTTTCCTCCGGCCCCCTTGGGTTTGGTCCTGGTGTTTCATCACAGCAATTGTAAAAGGTGGCTCCTATCAACTAACATTCCACTTTGAAGCCTCCGCTGACATTCAGATGCTGGATTCTGAGACAATTCACAATCACCCAGTGGTCCTTTGCTTGCTGCATTACCCATGCCAGCCCCAAGCCCCTGGGCTTAGGTGCTTTGCCTGTGTTAGCAACCCCCCCCCCCCAAGGACTGGGATGACAGCTGCATGCCTACGGCCCAGCTGGACTTTCTTTTGTAGATAAATTAGCTCTGCCTGGTAACCCCAATAGGTTGCTTTTTCTTTTCTTTGTTTTGGGGTTTTGTTTGTTTTTCGAGACAGGGTTTCTCTACGTAGCCCTGCCTGTCCTGGAACTCGCTCTGTAGACCAGGCTGGCCTCAGACTCACAGAGACCCGCCTGCCCCAGCCTCCCGAGTGCTGGGACTAAAGGCGTGCGCCACTGCCTGGCTTCCAGTGGCTTTGCACAGATGTCATTCCCATCAGGGGCCACCTCTAAACCCAGCCACAGGGCCTCTCTGAAGTCGGTATGTGAGCCCTTTAGAACTGTCTTTTCAGTTGTTCCAACCAATCTGTCTTTGTGTCTACTCTGATGAAAGCTCTCTTCTTTTGTCAACTTTAAAAAAAAAAAAAAGGATCTTGCTTGCCCATGCTGGCCTAGAACTCCTGTTCTCTCTGTCTCAGTCTCCCAATGCTGGGATTACAGATGCGCGGAATCGCATCTGGCTGTTGGGAGGGCTGCTTCTTGGGTCTTTGTCTTGACTTTCTCAGTACCCCAAAAGGACGGACTGTCCCACCATGCCTCTGTCCCCAGCGCCCAGAGCAAGAGTGCCACGAACAGCACTGCTGTCTCCCACTGCTTACCAGCTTAATCTCACCGTTGCCCACGATGACACTGAACTCACTCAGGTCCTTCATCAGCCCATTCAGTACTTCGGCGATGCGTTTGCGCTGGTGTCCGCTGACCTCCTGGAGCCGTTGCAGCTCAGACTCCAGGGACAGCATGGTGGCCTAGGGACAGCCCCTACGGTCATTCCCATTCCCATCCTCCCACTCCCCTTTCCCAGCTCGAGCAGAGCCTCTCCTATTATGTAAGGCTCTATGGAGAGAACACAGACCCTGCAGAAGCCTCTGGAAGAGGGGAGGCGTCTCAACACACTGATCAGCAGCAGCAGCAGCAGCAGCAGCAGCATGCAGCCACGGCAGGAAGCAGGTGCATCCTGAGGTCTCGACAGCCACTCACCACCTTCTGGGACAGTTCATCCACCAGCAGCTGGTTCTGCTGGCTCTTCTCCTCCACCTCCTGGGACTTCTGGTCGTAGTTGACTGCCAGCTCCTCCAGGGCCTGTAGCACCTCCTTCACCTCATCCTTCGCCGCATCGTTCTCGGACTGCAGGTGGCTCAGCTCCCGCTGGACCTTCTCGTTGTCTCCGCGAGTAGACACCAGCAGCTTCAAGGAAGAGGCAGGGCACGGGAGGGAGAGAGAGAGAGAGCGTGTGCCCTGTCAGTGACCGTGGCTGCCTCGTGAGCCCCTAGCTGAGCTCCACCGCCCCCACCCTCCCCGCCCACGCTTGAAATACAAGTCAAGGGGATGTGGGAAAGCGCCTGGGCTCCATCACTGGGACTTGAAGAACAACCTGGCCGGACACTATGTAACTTCAAACAGACTTGAATGCTTGTCAGTTAGTTTGTTTTTGAGATAAGGTTTCTCTGTGTAGCCCTGGCTGTCCTGGAGCTCAACTCTGTTGACCAGGCTGGCCTCAAACTCAGAGATCCACCTGCCTCTGCTTCTAAGTGCTTCGATCTTGGTGTTAGCATTCAGGTGTCTGTACTGGCCTGTCCATGGGGTTCTGACAGGATACGTCGTCCTCAGCTGCCGCCGCTAAGAGCACCACCTGTGCACATTCACGGCATTCCCTTTTAAAAGGGCCCTGCCGCCTCCCATCTTCTCTCTCTTTGCTTTTCTGCCTGCCTGTCCCTCATTCTCTCTCTCTCTGGTTCTTCCCTTCTCTCTTCTGCTGCTCCTGTCCCAGGAGCCGGTCACCCATTCCCTCCCCCTAATTAAAAAGAACCCTCCATGTGAGACGCCATGTCATGGTGTCTTTCTCTCTTGAGACACTTTTCAAAATTACAACAAAAGGCACGCACTACCATGCCCAGGCTAGCCTTGAACTCTGATCATCCTGACTCAGCTTCCTAATAGAAGTTTCCAGATTGCAACAATTTTCATGGGTCACTAACCAATGAGGAGAATGGCCATCCTTCCATGCACTTATTTTTTTTTTTGTAGCCAGATCACAGGCTACAAGTCTTTGTAGCCAAAAACAAGTTTGAGCTTCCATCCCGATCACAGGTATGTGCCAGATCATAGGTGTGTGCCGAATCACAGGTGTGTGCCAGATCGCAGGTATGTGCCTGATCGAAGGTGTGTGCCTGATCGCAGGTGTGTGCCAGATCGCAGGTGTATGCCAGGTCACAGGTGTGTGCCAGGTCACAGGTGTGTACCAGATCGCAGGTGTGTGCCAGATCGCAGGTGTATGCCAGATCACAGGTGTGTGCCAGGTCACAGGTGTGTGCCAGGTCACAGGTATGGGCCAGATTGCAGGTGTGTGCCAGGTCACAGGTGTGTGCCAGATCGCAGGTGTGTGCCAGATCGCAGGTGTGTGCCAGATCATAGGTGTGTGCCAGGTCACAGGTGTGTGCCAGATCGCAGGTGTGTGCCTGATCACAGGTATGTGTCAGATCACAGGTGTGTGCCAGGTTACAGGTGTGTGCCAAATCGCAGGTGTATGCCAGATCACAGGTGTATGCCAGATCACAGGTGTGTGCCAGATCACAGGTGTGTGCCAGATCACAGGTGTGCACTACCACATCTGGTTCCCACCGTGCTGGGGATAACAGCAGGGCAGGGCTTCAGGCATGCTCAGCCCCCACCCCACCACCCGAGCTTCCACATCCTCAGCCCCTCCGGTTAAAGGAGCCTCTTGGATTTGTGGGAATAAAGACAAAAGCCGTTCCCTCTGGTTCTCTCTGGCTGTTACCTCTTCCTGGTCCAGCATCTGCTGCTTCAGTTTCTCAATGAGCTGGCTCTGCTGGTTGATTTCATCGTCCTGTGAGAGGCAAGCGAGATGCCGGTGAAAACCAGAGAGCTGCTGTGAGCTGCAGATCTATCACCCCAAGAGGAAGGTTTTTTTTCTGGGGCCCAAGCACTTTATGTTTGAATTCTTAGCCTTCAGCACCCCGCCCATCTGCCTTCACCTTGTCATCAAGCTGCTTGTAGAGACGGCGGATCTCTTCCTCATATTTCTGCCTCTCCTCAGGTGCGATGCGGACCACAATGGATGAGTTGTCATTCATGGGGGTCTCCTCGCACAGCTCAGCTCCCAGAGCTGAATCCTCCCCAGCCAGGCGCTCGGTCTCAGGCACATTCTCTCCTGACAGATGGACAGAAGGAGGGACAGTGTGAATGTTAGTATTATCAACCTCGCAGGATCCAGCATCACCTATAAGACAAAGCCCTGGAAGTCTAAGAGGGGGATTCCAGAGTGCATTCAGGTGGGCAGATCCACCTTAAATGTGGGCAGGACCATCCCAAGGGCCAGTGTCCAGACCCAATGAGGAGGAGGAGGAGACAAGAGGCATACCAACTCTCATCTGTTTCCTGACTGCAGGTGTAATGTGAGCTCCAGCACTTTCCCTGCACCCTCAGACTGAGCCAGAGTACATACTCTGGCTACAGTTAGGGAGAGTGAGCCGCCACCCTCTCTGACTCCTCAGAGCCAGGATCCCAGCCTCCCCCGCCTCTGGAGCACCTCAGTTGGTGATGGGTTTATTCACCGAGCCTCTGCACCTCTTCCAGAAACAGCCTTGCTTCCTAGAGATTGTTGCTGGCCTTAAACACTCCCAGGTGGTGCTGTCCCTAGGCCTTGTCTGTTACTCCCATGGGGCTGGGGGTGGGGGCTCCCTCTCTAACCATTGCGCCACCGGCTTAGCTCGGCCTCCAGCTTTGCAATCGTCTCCTTCTGGGCCTTGGTCTTCTCCTTCTCCTTCTCATATTTTTTCTTCCACTGCTCGGCGGTCAACTCCAGATTCACGGATGCAGTGTTCTTAATGGTCTTTGCCCTGGGTGAAGATGACCCTTACGTTGGTCTTTGGTGATGTGGGGGGGGGGGCAGCAGGGGATGAGATGAGGGCAGGACACCTGGGCCCCCTCTGGGGGCCCTGACACTGACCGCTGCCCGAACATGAGCGTGGACTTGGTCTCAGCATCGTTGTAGCTGGATGGCGAGCAGCAAATGAACATGGTGGTCCTACAGTTCCCTCCCAGGGAGTCCTGGAGAATCCGTGTCATCTTGCTGTCACGGTACGGCACGTAGCTTTTCTAGAGCAGGAGGGAGACCGTGAATGAGAGAAAATTACTTCGAGAGGGTAACAAGGGACAGTGATGCTCGCTGAGGATGGAGTGGGTCATGATGAGAAAGGGGCTTGTTGGGGAAGAGGCGGAGGGGGACGGTGACCTAGGGAACACTTACAGTGCCCTCAGCCAGGGCGGAGATCACGTTCCCCAGGGCTGACAGTGACTTGTTGATGTTCTTGGCCTCATCCAGCACAGCCCCCTCTGCCCCTGTCTTGCTAACCTGTCAGAGTTACAGGGCAAGTGTGTCAACGAGAGCCGCACAGGCTGTTACTACATCTTCCCACTTACAAGGGCCAGGCCCTAAAGGGGAGGGGACTGAGGATAAAGGGACATGCTCAGCCAGGGTCAGGAGGACCCCTCCTCCAGCCCCCGGAACGGAACTGTCCCGTGGCTGCCCTTACCATGACAGTACATAAGTTACACACTATCACTTATATGAAATATTGGGGATTGGCAGATTCAAAGCCAGAGGGTAACCATGGTGTCCAGGGGATGGGTAGTGGGGAGAATGGGCAGTGCCTGTTGGGTAATGAAAATGTTCTAGAATTTGGCAGTATGGACAGTGTATGATGTTCAGGAGACGCTAACCTGACTGGATTATCTGGGGGAGCGGATGGGTGGGTGGGTGGAGTCTCACTGTGTAGCCCAGACTAGCTTCATACTCATTGTCCATCTTGTTCAGCTGACTGCAGGGATGACAGATGTGGACCACCACACCTGACTCAGGACTGTTTAGTGTGTTTTTGTAGGCGCACATATGTGTAGAGGTCACAGGTCAACTTGGGTGCTGTTCCTCAGAAATTGACTGTTTCTTTTTTTTTTTTTTTTTTTTTTTTTTTTTTTAAGCCACGGTATCTCCCTGGGACGAGGAACTTTCTGGGTAAGCTATGCTAGCTGGCCAGGGAGCCCCAAGCATCTGCCCGCCTCCAGCTCCCTGGTGCTGGAACTGCAGGCATGCACCACCATGCTCGGTTTTTTGCATGCTGCTGGGCACTGGAACTCGGGTCCTGGCGCTGTTAAAGCAAGCAATTTACCAACTAAGTATGTCCCCAGCCCCATGTTTTGTTTTGTTTGAGACAAGGTGACTCATCCAGGCTAGTCAAACTCCCATGTTGTTAACGATGAACTTGAACTTCCAATCCTTCTGCCTCCTCCATCTCTCAAGTGTGGGATGCCAGGCACATACCAGTATGTCCTACTTATGTAGTGCAAGAGACCAAACCCAAGGGTTAGTGCCTCTACCAAAGGAGTTATGTTCCCAGCCTTGGATTGCACGCGTGCATGTGTGCGTGCGTGTGTGTATGGTATGTGTGATGTATGTGTGTGGTGTGTGTGTGTGTATGGTATGTGTAAGTAATATGTTGTGTGTATGATATGTGTGTGTGGTGTGTGTGTATGGTATGTGTGTGTATGAGGTGTGTGTGAGATATGTGTGTATGGTGTGTGTGTGTGTATGAGGTATGTGTGTGTGAATGTTTGGGGCTTCTGGAGATCTGAGCTCAGGTCCTCAGGCTTGCACAGTAAGTGTTGTGTCTCTTGAGCCATTTCCCTGTTTGTATTTTAATGGTGACATATTTGTTAATTACTGGAGAGGGTTCGTACTGTCTGCCTGCTCTTCCCAAGTGCTGGTGTGAAAGGTATATTGCCACCACACATGGCCAAATTTAGTTTTCTTTCCAATTCAATTTTTGGTTTTTTGTTTTGTTTTGTTTTGTTTTTTGTTTTTGTTTTGTTTTTCTGGTTTCTTTGAGACAGGGTTTCTCTGTGTAGCCCTGCCTATCCTGGAACAAGTTCTGTAGACCAGGCTGGCCTTGAACTCACAGAGATCCACTTGCCTCTGCCTCCCAAGTGCTGGGATTAAAAGTGTGTGCCATCACTGCCTGTTCTCAAAATTTAGTTTTTGAAAACGCAAAGCTTCCCCCCAAGGGTTCCTTTTCAGCCCCCACCCCACCTCCCTCCAAATCCCCAACCTTCTCGCTCCTTCCCCCCAAGGGTTCCTTTTCAGCCCCCACCCCACCTCCCTCCAAACCCCCAACCTTCTCGCTCCTTCCCCCCAAGGGTTCCTTTTCAGCCCCCACCCCACCTCCCTCCAAATCCCCAACCTTCTCGCTCCCAGCCAGGTCCACAAGGTACAGCTTCCCGCTGAGCTTCTGCTCAGTCTCTATGTTCTCCTGCTTGATGTTGATGAGGAAGATGCTGTGGCTCCGAGAACTGTGCTCATTCATATCTGCAGGGGCAGGAAACATGGATCCCTACCCACCAACCCCTGCAGACCTGCAGTCCTCAGCCACAATGCCCACTAGCTGCCACCCCACTCACTGAGAGAAAGGGCCACCAGGGCCATGTTCTGCTGTATCATCTCCTAGGCAGTAGGCTACACAGGCAGGAGGATCCTCCCCCCCCCCATTGGGCACAGAAGTTAGAAGACCTCCAGACCCCACAGCTCTTTCTGTCCCCACTCACTGGTGACAGCCACATGACGGTTCGACTTCCCTTCATCGATCACGTCCAAAATCTCCTCTGGGCTGGACACAAAGCGCTCGGTACATCCCTGTAGGGGGCAAACAGCGGGGAGCACACACTTTGACCTGGCTCACCCACCGTCATGAGGGTCACTGACCGCTCACACAGCCTCGACTCCCTCGTTGCACACAAGAACCCCACCTGCTCTCACCTTGACAAAGGGTACCCGGTTTTTGTCCTCATGCACAGACAGGTTTGTCTTGGTCACTGAATCAAGACAGAGCAGGGTGAGAGAGATCAGTACCCGCCCGCCCCTGGGTACCCCGCAGGAAGACTCCCCGGGGAAATCCAAAGGCTATGCTCACGGGGGGGGGGGGGGGGTTGGGTGTTCTGGCTCCAAATGTAAGGGCTGGGCCTTAAGCTCACCCCCACCTCTCCCAGGCTTTGGGGAATTTCCTTCTTTCTTTCTTTTCCTCTGTAGTAGAGGGGGTTGAATGCAGAATCTCACTCCATGCTAGGAAAGGCACTTTGCCACCTACCCACCCCAGCTCCTCCTGGCTCTGCCCATTAATTAGGGTTTGAACATAAGGCCTCGCTCACGCTTGCTACGCAGCCTCCGCCACTCACTCCATCCTACCCTTTTTACCCTTTCCTTTTCAGACACAACCATGCTCTTTCCCAGAGTGTCCTCAAAAACCACAATCCTCCTGCCTCAGCCTAGGCTTCCAGGCAAGCACCACCATCCCTGACTGAAAGTCTGTGGAGGGGAGGAGCCGAGGACTCTGGTGTGAAGAGGCATGTCCTGGATGTTCAAATGCAACCAAACTCCGGATAAAGGCGGTCTCTCGCATACCTTTACCCACTGAGCCCAGGTACTCACCATCCAAAAGGTCTCGGATCTTATCCAGGTAAATCTCAAAGTAAGAAACCTGGCCGGGAAGAAAGGGGACAATGTGCGATGTTCAGGTTGTTTTAATTTTATTTTTACGTGTATGCCACCATGTGGGAGCTGGGAATTGAACCCAGGTCCCCCGGGAGTGATGAGTGATGTCATTCTGTATATGTTTCTCATACTGGTTAATGAATAAAGCACTGTTGGCCAATAGGAAAGGAAGATAGGAGGGACTAGGAGACAAGGAGGAAAGAGGAAGTAGGAAGCAGGAGTCACGATGGAGAGCCTGGAGGGAAAAGGACCACCATTCCTCTGCTCTCGGAAAGGCCACGTGGAAATACATAGAAATGGGTTGATAATTAAGACAGAGCTAGCAGATAAGAAAGTAGTAACTGGCCAACAGTATAATATCTAATACAGAGTCTCAGTGCATTATTTGGGGCTGGCGCAGCAGCGGGACAAGACCAGAGGCGGCGGGCAGAAAAACCACACTCGATACACGGGAGAACAACCAATGGGCTTAACCTCTGAGCCGAGCCATCTCTCCAGCCCCAAGAGGGCGATCTTAAATCTAACACAGGAATCCCAAACCAATGCGACTGGTTCAAGAAGGATGGTGGCTGGCAAGGTGCAGGAGAGGGCACCTTGGTGGGAAGTTGAGGTAACCAGAGGAGAGAGTAAAGCTTTAAGCTGGCTCATTCTAGCTTCCATCCCAGTCTCCATCTGGGTCCCCCAGAGGTCACCTGCTGATTACCTTAATGTGGAATTCCAGATTCTCATCCATGGAGTAGATGTGGTTGAAGATGTCTCGAGCAATCCGAGGGATGATTCCCATCAGCTGCGGGTCGTGCAGCTTTCCCTGGAGGTCAGAGCAGGGCAGCCGGGGTCACGGGAGGGAGGGAAAGTGGGCGGACTGAAGGGATCCCTCCAAACCTCCCCTACCACACCGCTCCTCACTCATCCTCTGCACCCATCTGTCTCCGACTCAGCCCACCCTCCATTCCTGCGCTGTCCCTAGCAGAGATTCTTCATCTTCTGCGGACCCTTCCTCTCATTCCTCACCCCCCCAAGTCAGACCCCTCACCTCCATGGTATGTGTTTTCCCTGAGGATGTCTGTCCATAAGCAAAAATTGTGCCGTTGTAGCCAGCAAGGACGTCTGGAAGGGAAGGCAGAGAAGGAGATCGGTGGGGGACAGGGGTGGCGAGCGTCGGGTGGGGAAACATCCCGGAGATGAGGCTCTTACCTTTGACGATCTGCATGGCACATGCATGATAAACTTGCTCCTGAGTCGTGTTTGGGGGGAACACACGGTCAAAGACGTATGGCTTTCCCTGGAGGGGAAAACAGGAGAGACAGGCATGAGCAGGGAGTATGAGATGGAGGGGGGCACTGCAGACCTTTCCAGTCTTCAGAAGCATCCGGACTCTACAGCACTGACAACACACGGGACGTTTGGGAGGTGAGAGAACCTTCCAGAAGCAGCTTACTTCTGACAGTGGGAAGAGTACCGTCTGCCAGCGTGTCACTAAGTTGTGTCTCACAGTGAGGTCATGCAAGGGGGTCCCTGTCTGAATGCGAGATTCTAGAATCCCACTAACCCCAAACACCTTCCTGGGAAATCAGACAGGAAAAGGCAAAAAAAAAAAAAAAAAAAAAAAAAAAATAGAAGGTGAGGAATTCCTCATCACCAGTGAAGAGAACCTCAAAGTTGAAAACACCTTCCTCTCCAGGGCTGTTTGTCTGCTGGTATAGAACTTCGTCAAGAAGTGTGCTGGAGAGACAGGTCAGCGGCTAAGAGCATGTACCTGAGTTCAGTCCCAGAACCTACACAGCAGCTCACAAGCATCCGTAACCAGGCACACATCCAGTACACTTACATACATGCAGGCAAAACACGTGTACATAAGAACATTTTTTGAGTCGGGCGTTGGTGATGCACGCCTTTAATCTCAACACTGGGGAGGCAGAGGCAGGTGGATCTCTGCGGGTTCGAGGCCAGCCTGGTCTACAGAGTGAGTTCCAGGACAGGCTCCAAAACAATACAGAGAAAACCTGTCTCAAAAAAACCAAAGGAAATTTTAATGATGTATTAAGTGAAAGATGCAAAATTGGTGCCACAGGTGGAGGCTGTCCTGATATGCAAGGGAAGTGAAGCGTGCGTGCATGGAGGGCGTCCGTGCAGACACTGGGACAGTTCCCTGGTTTTGAAAGAAATATATGAAATCAGAGGTGGATGCCCCTTTAAGGAACATGACTCAGTGTGAGCCCTTGTCTACCGTGTACAAAGCCCAGCACAGGAACAGCAACAGACTAACTGAGGCCGACCATCAAACCCGCAAGCACGTGGCCTAGCCCAGGTAACGTGCTGGCAAATGGCACAAAATTCAGGGAGCCAAGCAAAGGATTTCTAATCACACGCAGGGCCTGCTCTCTGCCCGCCGCAAGTGACAGGTCCCTCAGCTGCTGTGTCTTCACTGCCAAGCAGACCCATCACTGAATTCATTTACTAGCGTCCACGTGTGTCCAGCTGAAATGGGAGCCTCTAGGGCCACCCTCGGCTGACTTTGGGAGACGACACCAAAAGGAAGGCAACCTGGCAGATGAAAGCAAGCCCAGTTCTACAGTTCAGCGCTGAGTACACGGCTTTACTCTACAGGAAGAATCAATTACAAAGTGATAACAGTAGTTGCCTTGGAAAGAGAAGCAGGGAGAGAGGACACCTTGTTTTTCTCCTTTGAGACAAGATTTCTCTGTGTAACAGCCCTGGCTGTCTTGGAACTAGCTCTGTAGACCAGGCTGGCCTTGAACTCAGACAGTAGAGAAGGAGGGAGGGAGGGTGTAGTGAGATCAGCTTCCTCAAAAGCAAGGGTTCTGGTCTCCCCTGGAGGCGTGGTCAGTGCAACAGGTGGATGTCTCACTACAGGGGGGGAGGGGGGAGGGAGAGGGGGAGGGCGAACCCCAAGGACAGGCCAGTACAGATGCCTGAATACTAACACCGCCCCACCCCATACATCCCAACACTAATGGACATTTTTAAACACACACACACTCCAGTCTCAGGGAACCTGAGGAAGAGGAGACAGAAGGCTTACGGGCTGGGGGACAGGGAGAGGAGCTGTGAAATGCTGTTCTCTGGCTGTGACACGTCTCATGAGCTCACACAGCTTTAGTTACCACCACATGACCCATGTAAGCTCAAGCCAGCCATTCTGGCACAGGTGGAGGAGGAGACTCTGGCTTCCCACGGACAGGTTTCCCATGCTTTTCTGGGCCAGGACTAACTGAACTTACCACCACTGACAACAAAAAGACTTTGTGTGGTTGACATAGTGGGGGGCAGACAGGGGAGCTGGAGGGAAATGGGGGACAGATATGGTTGTATTGAATTGAGTACATGTTATTTGTCAAGAAAGAAAAATTATAAAAAATTACTTTCAAAGATGACACAATAATATACCTTTTTCCTTATATTTCTTTGCACAAAGGAAGAAATATTTATATGCTTAAATATTAAAGGCTACAGGCTGGACATGGCAGTGCCTACCTTAATCCCAACAGAAGGTAGCAGGGTCTCTGAAGAGTTGAGGCTAGAGTTGTCTATATAGTGAGTTCCAGACCAGTCAGGGCTATCTATATAGTAAGATCGTGTCTCAAAAAATTCACACGCACGCACGCACGCACACACACACACACACACACACACACACAAAATCTTCGGGGCTGGAGAGCTGGTCCAGTGGTAATACTCACTATTGTGTTCAATTTCCAGCACCCACATGGCAGCTGACACCAGGCATGCACACGGTACACAGACATACAGACATACATGCAAATAAAACACTCTCACACATTAAAAAATAATAACATTAGTTTTTACATTAGAGCTGGGGAGTGTAGGTTGGTAGAATGCTTGCCTACCATGTTCAAAGCCCTGGGTTTGAACCCCAGCACAGAATAAACTAGGTGTGGGAGCTCCTGCCTGCAATCCCAGCACTAGGGAGGTGGATGCTGGAGAATCAGAAACTCAAGGTCACTCAGCTGTATAAAGATTTCAAGGCCAAAGACTCTGGACTGAAAAAATGTTTTTAATTAAATCTGGCATTTGATTAAAACCAGCTGGAAATATCTGCTCTCTCCATCATCCATCCGACCAAAGCGCAGACAGCTGGGACGAAGATGGAGCTCGTGGCCAAACACCTGCAGGAGCACGGAAGGCCCTGGTCTGATCCAATCGCCAAAATATTAAGTTACACTGAAAAAGAATAAAGCCGGGAAATGGAATTCACAAAGGAAAGGGGCTGAGGAAGGAAACTCCTTAATGGAGTGTGGTAAACTGATTTTACCAAGTCACTCTATCCCACTAAATACTTAAATATTGATACTATATACCAAGATTCTGCTAGGAATGCAGTTTGCAAAACACTTATTGAAGTGATTAAAGGTGGAGATTGTATATATATATATACATATATATATATATATACACACACATATACACACACATATATACACACACATATATACACACACATACATACACACATACACACACATATATACACACACATATATATACACACACACATATACACACATACACACTCACACACAGATATATATATACACACACATATACACACACACATACATATATACACACACACATATACACACACACATATACACACACATATACACATATACACATACACACACAGACACACACACACACACAGATATATATATACACACATATATTTCACTTGGGTGGTTTGTACTCAAGGGAAAAAAACAAAACCAATGACAAGTTAGATTGTGGCTCAGAGAGTGTGAGTTTGGCATGTACAAAGCCCTGAGCCCCCATTGATCCTTAGCAGAGAAGGAAAGAAAACGGGGGGGGGGGGGAGGAGAAAGGAGTAATTGCTAAGATGTCTCAGCAGGTGAAACTTCTAACCCCTACACCTGACCTAAGGTTGATTCCCCAGGGCTCACTGGGTGGAAGGAGAGACCTGACTACTACATGGGCCATGGCACACTAACACCAAAACACACACACACACACACACACACAAATAAATAAATGCAGGCCATTTTTATCAAAGAAGGAATGGAGGAGGTGAGTTACAGCTCCATTAAAACAAGAAAACCAAGTCATTTTGGGTGGGGCATAGTAGTTTATGCCTTTGATCCCCTTGAGGGGCAGAGGCAGATGGATCTCTCTGAGTTCAAGGCCAGCCTGGTCTACATAATGAGTTCCATGATAGGCAGAGACACACAGTGAGATCGTGTCTGGAAACAAAACAAGAGTGAGGTTGGTTTCTATACTCTGACATGTCCAAGATTGATTAACTGAAAAAATAAAAATGATGCTGGGTAGTGGGGGCGTACGCCTTTAATCCCAGCACTTGGGAGGCAGAGGCAGAGGGAGCTCTGTGAGTTGGGAGGCCATCCTGGTCTACAGAGCGAGTTCCAGGGCAGCCAGGACTATTATGTAGAGAAACTATGTCTCAGAAAAACAAACAAAAATTATGTTGGGGACACAGCTCAGTTGTAGAGGGCTTATCCAGTAGGCTCCAAGTTCAGTCCCATGCAACACACACACACACACACACACACACTGCCCATTAAAATTAATTACATGTTTTTAAAAAGACATGACAGCTGGCTGTTGGTGGCGCACACTTTTAATCCCAGCACTTGGGAGACAGAGGCAGGTGGATCTCTGTGAGTTTGAGGCCAGCCTGGTCTACAGAGCGAGTTCCAGGACAGGCTCCAAAACTACACAGAGAAACCCTGTCTCGAAAAACCAAAAATAAATAAATAAATAAGTAAAAATAAAAAGACATGAGAGATGAGCTCATATGTGCACCAGGGGCTGTGGATGGTGTGTGCAATGACGTGCACATGTACAGATGGCACGCTCCCTGCCCATATGAAGTCCACTTGAGGGCTGGAGGCAGCAGGCGGCCTGACAATCCTTGCGTCTACAGTGGTAGGATGTGCACCCGATGGGTGTGTGGGAGTCACAGTGAAGCCATCACCGGAGGCGTCCTTTTCACCATACAGCCTTGGGAGCATGCTCCCAAATACCCGTCGGACTATCACAGGCTTTTATAATCCTGTTTGGTCCTGACATCTTTAGTGGCCAGACAGCATCCGCTCTGGTCCCCAGGAGGCAGCTGCTCTATTGCTCCATTCCTGACGGTGAGATCAAAGCTGTGCCCGACACACCTGGCTCCTGCCCTGAGCTGAATTCCCCCCAGGAGTGTGTGAGCTGCGGCTCAGCCTGTGAGTGGGTAAGGGGAGAGGCAAAGGCTCCTGGTCATTCCCT